AACGTTGCTCCCGGTAGATGCTAACGGGCTCCTGGAACTATTCTCTCCTATCTGTAGATGTTCTGTGGCCAGACCGCCAGACACCAACCTCCAGTATTGATAAGTGAATCCTAGAAGATGGTTGTTTACTTGTCACAAGTTGTCACTTAGAATAGCATCTCCTCCTGCCCCACCGCCTTTGCTAAAGTTATCCCCCAAATTTCATCACAGCACTGAGGAGTTTCAGTTGTAGGTCTGCCCCACCTCATTTCACAAAGATTCAAGGCTGCTTGCAAAGCTGCATCTGATCAAAAAGGGTACAATGAATAGTTTTGAGAGTATTCCGCAAAGGGTGTAAAGGAAAGGAAAAGAGTAAGGCTGGAGTGCGGTGAGCACAGATCCCAAGGCTATGGTTGCCAGGCAGGAGTTACAAATTTGGCTGTGAAATCCCCAATGTAAAGCAAAGGAAAAAATAGTATCATTTACCTGATTCGCAGTATTTCTAAGATTCAAAGTTTCTCAAAAGAAGCATGGCATATTCTAGTACTGAGATACGAAAGATATTTCTCCCTTGACTCCTCTTAAAAAGGACACTAGATCAGCCTGGATAAGGTTCCACTAAGAGCAACCAAAAACCCAAAATGACTGTGGCTTGAATAAAACAGAATTTTAGTATAGGCAATGCTGGCAGCCCAGGGCCAGACTGGCTCTCACTGGCCANAACCAAAAACCCAAAATGACTGTGGCTTGAATAAAACAGAATTTTAGTATAGGCAATGCTGGCAGCCCAGGGCCAGACTGGCTCTCACTGGGGTTCAGGGGCGCGGATCCTTTTATATTGTTTCTCTACTTCATTGTCCAAACGGCTGTTCAAGCCCTGGCTAAAATGCTCCCACTCCAGCCAGCAGGAAGCGGGAAGGAGTGATGCAGGGCACTCCGCCACCCTTTAGAGACACATCCCGCAAACGGCAGAGATACTTGTGATTATGTCCAGGTGGCCAGGACCTAATCACATGGCCACACCTAGCTGCAAGAGAGGCTGAAAGTGGAATCTTTATTCCAGGTCTTGTAAAGTGGGCTTCCTATCACTAAAGCAGATGGGCAGTATATTAATTTGCTAGGGCTGCTATAAGAAAATAACTCAGACTAGGTGGCTTAAACAACAGAAATTTATTTTCTCACAGTTCTGGAGGCTGGAATTTCAAGATTAAGGTGCTGTCAGAGTTGTTTTCCTCTGAGGCCTCTCTTCTTGACTTACAGAGGGCTGCCTTCTTGTGTCCTCACATGGCCTTTCCTCTCTGCGTGCAAATTCTTGATGTGCCTCTGTGTGTCCTAATCTCCTCTTCTTAAAAAGACAGCAGTCCTATTGCCTTAGGACCTACCCTAATGGCCTCATTTTAACTTAATCTCCTCTTTAAAAGGGCCCTATCTCCAAGTACAGACACATTGTGAGGTGCTGGGGAGTCATATTCTGCCAGCATCCCTGGAACTGGGTAAATAAGTTTTTTGGAGCCGTTTGTTCTGTCTCCCCTTTTAAATTCATGTCTTCTCGAAACCAAGAGTCCAAGAACACAGCACACTGCTCTGCACCCAAAGGCATTCAGTGAATCCCTGCACGTGCTGGTGGCTTCTGCCCAAGGAACCACAGCTGGAGCAAAGACTGGAGGCCAGGATTCCTGACTCTACCCTCTGCTCGCCCCGCCACACTGCGCTGTTTCCTTCAGGGGCTGACAGCCAGCACACCGCCATGTGGGAACTTAGAGTCGTGTGTTTTAGTCTCAGATTTTCCCTATCAGAGGTTGCAAAGCCCTAAAGTGGTAATTCCTGGCCCTGGTTTGGCACAAATCTAGGGCTTCCACAGAGATCCCAGTAGGTATCAAACTATTTTAAACCCTTACATGAAAAGTGGTTTGAATTTTTTCTGGGTCACCTTGCACTGTTTTGTTTTCTATGGTCACCACAGAAATTTTAGGAGGTAAGGATAGGTCATTGCAAGGTCAAAGCCAGGATGCCCCAACTCCAGGAAAAGTTGGAAAATCTGTGCCCTAACCTCAGCCGGCTCTCCCCAGGGCTAAGACTAATGCTATGCCAGCAGCCTCAGCTTGGGCAAAGGCAAATGGGCCCAGACTTGGAACGGTACTTTTTTTCCCCACTTTCTGACCATTTTGCAAGCTGCTGCCCATCGAACCAGAGTGAGATTGCACTTGGAAAGATGACAAAGAGAATTTCCCATAAAATATACTGACAGCCTTGCTCCCAAGACACCTCTTGAATCCACCCCAGGGTTCTGTGCTCTATAGCAGGACTGGTCTCCCAAGAGGCTATGGGCTCCCCATGAGGAGCACTATTTGTAGAGCCTCAGACACAGTCTCTCCTTGTCCATTTCTGCCCTAGCAACAGCCACTTCAAATGCAGCTTTTGGAAGCTGTACAATATAGCTAATTGTTTGCATTGGACAGTAGTGTGTTTAGAGCTTACGCATCTAAACAGACAATTATTTTCTGCTATTTGCTGGTGGCACTGCCTGCCTGGTGACTTTGGCAGATGGGAAAAGGAGCTAATCCATAGGTTATAAGCAGAAGGGCTATTGATGAAATGTCACCATCTGTTGGTGTCATTAAAATGATATGAGTCAGAAAGAGTTGCTTATGTCTTTTTGTCACAAAAAGGTTAGCTTAGAGTTTAAAAGAAGTCGCCAAATTGCAGACGGTAGTGGGAGACCAGTCTGGAGTGTCAACCCTGGAAGGGAAGAGCCTTGAGGAACTCAGCAGCTCAGCTTGGTGAGTCTTCAGGGAAGCACTGGAGTCCTCTGACCGAGTAAAATTACCCATCTCGCGTTCAGAACGATGCAGTGCCTCACCTCTCCCATGGTCCTCCCCACTTCTGAGGCACCTATCAGGGGAAAGTCATTTATTTGGGTTAAACAAAAAAGGTGATCATATCTGGGAGGGAACAGTTCAAACGCACCTGTCTCCTTAATCCCTATCGGCCTCATTACACAGATTATTCACGTAGCCAGCTGACGCCTCGGAGGCTGCCGATCCCGGTAGGGAATGAGATGCTGTGCATCTGCTGGATCTCCTGGGAGGAGATGGGGGTGGCTCAGAGGGCAACCAGGGACAGCACGCCCATGCTTCCATCGCGGGTGGGAGGACCCAGGAGGGAGTAAAGAAAGCAGTGGGTGGACCACATCGAATTGCATAGCAGAGGAACCAGCTTTTGGGTTTGATTTTATTGATTTTTCTGGATTCCATTTCATTGATTTCTGCTCTAATGTTTTAAAATATTTTCTTCTGCTTACTTTGAGTTTAATGTGCTCTTCTTTTTGCTAGTTTCCTAAGGTAGAAATGTAGATTATTAATTTTATATCTTTCTTTTCTTCCAACATATTGCATAGCAAAGGGATGGAGAGTGTGAGAAGTATATTTAATGAGGATCCGGACGACCAAAATAAACTGTGCCAACTTCCTAATTCTGCCTTATTACCTAATCCTCTTAATTCCCTCCTATTTGCTGTTTATAAACTATTTTACCCGCTGCCAAGGACATAGGCCCAAAGAGAAAGAGCCTGTAATTACCAACCTTGTCCAGTATGACTTAAGATCCTTTTTAATTATTGTTATTATTTTTAACTTTACCCNCTGTAATTACCAACCTTGTCCAGTATGACTTAAGATCCTTTTTAATTATTATTTTTAACTTTAACTCCTGGAGAGAGCATGTGGGTGATTGGAAACCACTACAAATCCTTTTGGCAGTACTGGGATTTAAATTATAAGTAAACATAGCACCGCAATGAGCCGGGCCTCACACCCAGCCCTGCCTCTGGTTGAGTCCTTACGCCCATCCCACTGCCCTAACCTGCCCCACCTGCCAGCTCCTTAGGGCGAGAGGTGCTGGGGAGTCAGTGCCGCTGCTGGAAACAGTGCAGGATGCTGAGAGCAAGAGCCACGGGGGCATGAGCCGTATGAAACCTGTGTGGGTTATTTATATGGTCTCAAAAGGAAGCATCCTGGAAAAATTCCTGTTGATATTTTTAGATCTGATTCTTGGTCCTGCTGCCACACTTTTATTTTTAAACAGACAGGGATGGAAATGATAGATGCTGTCTGCAGGGCTGTTTTGGAGGCTTGGAGGGCTCATCTGACAGGCTAATGGTCATCCTGCCAGGGCCCAGGGCCACCTTCTGTCTCTTCTAGCTCTGGGATTTCAGGAGCTGCTGACTTCAGCAGGTGATGAATAAAACCGTGGCTGCCTGCTGCCAAGTCCGAAACTCTAACGTTTCCCTGTGGCTCTGAGGCCCTGTGCAGGTGACAGCCACAGGTTCAGTGTCCTGTCGACTTCCGTTCTCTGTTTCTCTAAGAATGGGACACATGTTTGCTTAATAAGCCTTTGACTGGAAGTAAAGTGGTTTAGAATTTAACAAGGTGATTAAACTGGTTAAAACTCACAACCACACAATAATCCATGAGCTTAACTCTTCCAGGGCCAGTGAAGGGGGTTAAATATTGTTTCTAAATCACTGCTGTGGTTACTTTCATTTGTCCGCTCAAAATCAGTGCTATCAATAAATAATTTTCTTAAATATTCTTCCCAAGGATTTCTATGATGGATCCTGTGACTTTGTCCTCAAGGGGAAGGGAGGCCAAGGAGACAGTGGGCATCGGGGTTTTGGGCTCTGCAGATGTGATTTCTCGTGAGAAGCTCATGGGTCGTAGCTGCAGCCCACTCTAGTTGAGTGATCAGTTCATTGGAAATGCTGAGGAGTGTTCAGGGAGGAAAAAGAAAGCTTTTAAATCCTCATGGCTGGGCATTGTATTGTTTGTCTCTGGGATTCAGACTGTGACAGATGGGGTTCTCTTACAAACATGGATGAAGCTGCTGGAATGATCCAAGAAAATTCCTGATGAGGCCCTGAGCTTCCACCCTTGCTCTTGCTCTGGCGACCTGTGGGCATTATCACTGTTTTTGTTGTGTGACTTTTTTACCTGTCTCTTCCTGCAGCAGACCACAGAAACGAGTGATGACGAAGACGGCCAGCCTCTCAGCCTGGCCTGGCCTTCCAGCTCTCGCAAGCAAGTCACTTTCCTGCTTGTCCTCCCCATAGTGTTTCCTCTCTGGGTCACCTTACCTGACGTCCGCAAGCCTGTGAGTAAAGCACTTTTGAATCGATTCCTTGTTTAAAAGCACGGTATGTAACAGCATGCCTAGTCTGCTTCTGCGTGCCTTACAAGGCAAAGGGGGTAAGGTATATCCATGCGTGTGCTTGTATGTGCCTGAAATTTATCTGGACAGGTAAAAATAGTGACTCTTCAGGTTATTGATTCCACATAAGAAACCACCCCAAAACTTAGAGGTGGGAAACAACAGCCATGTAATGCTGCTCTTGGATCCTGTGGCCCAGGAATTTGAATGGGGCCATTGGGGATGGCTTGTCTCTGCTCTGCCATGTCTGGGGCCTCAGCGAGGAGGACTCACATGGCTGAGGGCTGGAATCATCGAGAGGCTTCTTCACTGATGTTTCTGGCACCTGGGCAGAGACGATTCAAAGGCTGGACTCAGCTAGAATCGTCTACTGGAAAGCTTAAACATGTCCTCTCCCTGTGACTTTGGCTTCCTCACATCACGGTAGCTTCAAGATAGGCAGGTGTCTTACCTAAGAGACACCAAGAGGCTCCAAGAGTGGGTGTTCCAGCAGCTGCATGGTGTCTGATGAGCTAGTCTCTGAAGTCGTGTAGACTCACCACAACTACACGTTACTGACCAAAGCAGTCATAGTTTGTCTTGATTAAAGGTGAGGAGACAAAGGGTTTACCTAAACTATATCAGGGTCTTATAGTTTGATAGGAGGAATGTCAAAGAATTTCCAAACGTGTTTTAAAACCATCACAGTGTTGTTCTTGAGAAGGGGAACTGAAGGTCTGAGCAGGAGGGGGACACATTTTGTTGAATATTTGTGTACATGGATTATTCATTCGATTCAAAAAATAATTTAAAGAAATGCATTCATGTAATACAAATGTCTGCGTGTCTGATCTCTTTCCTGTATTGTTACCATTACTGTAATCAATATTATTTTCTACTGTTATTATGTACTGGGTGCTATGAACATAATACCACCTTATGACCAGCAAAGTACAATCTGCATATAGATCAAATCAAAAGAATATCCCTCCCAGTGTTGTTAAACTGGGTTCTAAGGCCATTGCTCCAAAGGGAGAAGGAACTAGTGAAAGGTAAGAAGAAAAAGCGCTATTTGTTGTTACAGCCCTACAGACACATAGTCATTCAACAAAAGTGTGTATCTACTATGTATCAGACTCTGCCCTCAGTATTTTCAATAAAACATATTGTGGAATCTCAGGAAACAGCTAGTGTAAGGAAAAATATATATGTGTGTATATATATATATGTAAATAATTGGCATAAGTAGAAAGAAACTTAGGTACAAAGAAGTTAACTAACTCATGCCTGGCCACTTCCCAGGGGATGGAGCTGAGATTCAGTTTCAGGCCCGTGTGACACACAGCTTGAGCTTCTCCTCATATTTCATGATGCCAGAAGGTGGAAATCTGAAAGCATCATTTCTAAAAGCATTTGAAATAGACTACTGTGGTAACATCCAATATAACTTAGCACAATTCTTAAGAGTCTTATGATGATCCCACTTTCCTCACTTGAAAAAGACAAATGAAAAACCCTGTCCCATTAGCCTGACCTATAAAAACTGCAGCCTGGTGGAGAGCCACGTCTTGTCAAGTTCAGGCCAGGAAAGGACCCCTTTGTGTAAGGACTCCCAACAGTAGAAGTTTCCTGGTAAAGTCAAAGTGATATTTAGGTTTCTTTGGTCAAGACACAGTAGCAGAACACCTGCTTTATGCAAAGGCCTGGCTTCCTGGAAACCTATAGACAAATAACTGGAATATATTCAGTTTCTTCTTGACTCACATCACATGCCATTTCCGAGATGTGCGTGCTCACATGTGCTCGCTCACTCATTCGCATTCTCTCTCTATTGCCATTGCTCCATTAAGCCCAAGCTCTTGCTCAGCCCCAGGGAGGAAAATCATGGAGAGAGACACGTTTTGTAAATCCCCACAGTAGACCTAGTGTACAGCCCAGAGGAGAGGGGGCTGATTGACTAATAAGAGGATATCAGCACGCAACCGCCGAAGCAACCAGGAAAAAGTGCAGGAATGGGAGGAACATGTCAGTAACCGAAGGCTCTGGGCTCTCGGGGTTGGCGGGACTCCTAGAGAAAGGGCTGACAGAGTGCTCGTCCTCCCCATCATCTGAGCTGGAAGGACAGGGAAGCTGTTCCAGAAGATCCAAGTTCTCATTCAGCAACTCCTGGACAACAACCAAGACTCCACCATGGCAGTAATTACCTGGAGCATGACGACTGTGCTGGCTGATGCTACAATTCCCAGGGGTGCAGAGCAAGAAAGAGCAGCTGTCCCTGACCCTCTCCTCTGCAGGACCAATGGCAGGTCATTCACCTTGAGAGCCCTCCCCTGCAGCCTGGGCCAGGTTAGCCAGTGGGGCTTCCGCTCATTGCACCCTAAGTGCCCTCCCAGAGGTGGACTGGATGTTTTCTGTCCGTTTCTGAGTATACTATGTGCTGTTCTGCAGAAATGAGGCTCTCAGACAAAACATTTGGTTCTTTTTAGATTTCTTCAGCAAGTATTTATTGAGCACCTATTACATGCCAAGTATCACACTTGTGCCCTAAAAGAGATATGAAGCCACAGAATTCACAGTTCCTACCTTTAAGGAACTCTAAACTTCATAGAGGGAACAAAACACATCCCTATGTAACTACAGAGCAAGACTGCACAGCTGCGGTGGTGAGAGGAGCCAGCCTCGAACCCGAGTCTGCTGACGCCACAGCATTCCCATTCTACCATGTGGACGGTGGTGGTTTTACCCACGTAACTCATGAGCGATGCAACCTTGAGAAAGTCACTTCTCAACTCGACCTCGTTTTTCCTCTTCTGTGACATGCAGGGTGGAAGATCTCTAGATTCCCTGGCAGCCGTGACATCCTCTGGCTATGGAAAGCATGAGATAACCATCAATACGACATTGCACATTTAAGGCAACCGCCCAACCCAGTTTGCCCAGGGTGGTCCCAGTCTACTCTGGGGCCTGGTTCGGAAGGTGAACTACGTGGTTGCCCTGTGCATACATGAAATGCCCCGTGAAAGAAAGCACGCCCCTTCCTCATGGACTGTCTCGGGGCCTCTTGGAAAATTACCCAGGAAGAGGAGAGAACAAGACAAAAATGATCGATTACGAGACATTTGCTGCTCCTCAGGGCCGGCAGCTCTGTCTCCTCAGTAGTTTCGTTTGTTTGTTTGTTTCATTTTGTTTCTCGCCACCATTTATCCCCTGTCCTCCTCAGTAGTTTTTGAATTACCGTGGAGATGAACATCCCAAACCTTGACAATAATTACAAAGAAAACATGATTTTTTTAAAAACGTATACATCTAGTTTCAGAGTAAATCGAACTCCCACTTGTTTTTATTTCCACTTCATTTATATGCAAATGATATGACAGTGTTTGTTGTATTATGCACACTTCCAGCTCAGATAATTAGCGTAGGCTTCACTTTTATCGTTTTCTTAAATTAATGGCTTTGTTTTGAAAGTAAAAAAAGAACACTAAAATGTAAACCTTACTGAGGAACATGTTTTTGATGGAAATTGAAAATAATAAAGGAAATAAAGACCCAAAAAGATGTATTCTTTCATGGCCTAGGATGGGTGTTCTTGCAAATCAGGAATGAATCTAATGAGACATCAAACCGCTCATGGGGGAGGAGACAAGCTGGCGGGTAGGTCACAGCTGCACCCGCCGCCTCCCGCAACCACGTCAAAATTACAACTAAAATACAGAACCACCGTCACTCAGAGCCTCCTGAGATCTGGCTGAACAGAAGCCCCACAGTCAGGGAGCTGAAGGAGCATCGAGAGCGGTAGGAGGGGCGGAGACGCGGGCGGATCGGGGCTGAATCTCGGAGACCCGGCCTCGGCCACACCCAGTGCTACGGCTTAAACCAGGGAGGGAATCTCGCGGTGGAGGTTTCCCCGGGGAGGGAGGAGGGAGGGGTTGCAGCCCCACAGCAGGGACCCTGCCCAGGGCTCCAGGGCCAAGAAGAGATGTCCCCACAACTTCGGGCTGGAAAAAGCAGCGGGGACTGTCCCTGAGGGTCCCAGAGGCTGCAGGAGCCCCAGCAGCTCCTCTTAAAGGGCCCGTGCACAGACTCACTCGGACGCTCCCTCTGAGCCCAGTGCCGGGCAGCAGCCTGAAAGGACCTGGGACACTCGGGGAGGAACTAACCTGCCTGGAGGGGCGGCTTCCTCCCAGGCAGAAGGGCTGACAGAGGCCACTGCTCCTTTGGCGAGTCCTCCCCGCACACAGCCGGCAGGCAGGCGCCGTGTTTGAGTCGCCAGCACCTGACTCACACCTTTGGCCCCGCCCCGTGATTCCCGGAGGCCCCGCCCCTCCCCACCTGCAGCTCATCCAGGCCATTTCCAGGGGCTTTTCTGTGCAAGTGGCCTCTCGAGCCTCATGCTTAGGACTTTCCTAAAATCTCTCAAACAAGCAGCAGCGGGCCCCATATGGCTTGATAAGTGGCCCCAGGCCTGGCACTAGCGGCAGCCTGCATTGGCTCATAGCTTGGCCTCTCCTGGACACCTCCAAGCCCAGCACAAGTAGCAGCCAACTACGGTTTGCTGTGTAGCTCATGCTGGGTGGCCCTGGGCAAGGCACTGGCACAGGCTGACTTTGCACCTCCCGGGAGGCCCCAGAGACAGTGCACCTGGTGGTCAGACTCGACCACGCTGGATTACAACCCTACCACATCCACGAGTGACACACTCAAGGGGCGCACTTGGTGAACACCAAAGCTCCACTGAAGTAAATCCTGCTCCATAGGGGTGTCTCCAGCACAGCAGCTCTTTGGCTGTAGTTGCAGCTGGTCCTCACAGCTGATTGGCCTGGGGGTCAATTCCTCCCAGTGACGCCAACAGCAACCAAGGCTCAACTACAACAGGACAGTGCACACAGCCCACACAGGGGAGCACCTAGAAGGCCCAGCTCAGGTGACTGGGGAGGCTGAGCCACTGGACCCTACAGGACACC